CCACATTCACACACAACTCCCTCCCACATTCACATACAACTCCCTCCTCCCCACATTCACATACAACTCCCCCCCCAATTCACATACAACTCCCCCCTACATTCACACACAACTCCCCCCCACACTAACACACAACTCCCCCCCACATTCACACACAACACCCACATATGAGCACACTTCCTACTCTGACCCATACCACGTCACATACACATAACCCATGCACCTCATCACCCCCACACACTCCACACTTATGCTTCTCACACACTGCAGCACGCACCTCACATTGCACACTCACCGTTATCACACCACATGCACACAATAACACCTGGCACACTAACAACTCACACGCTTTCATGCCACATACTGGCTGCTCTGAGCCGTCAGCTCTTCAGATGTTTGCAGAAGGGTGTGATTAGGGGACTGTAGGCAGCAGAAACCCACTCAAGCCAGGAAAGAGGCCTCTTGGAACTGAAGCTACTACTCGCCTGACTGGGCGCCACCCGGGCTTACACCTGTAATCCCAGCACTTTGGGAGGCCAAGGCATGAGGATCACTTGAGCTCAGGAGTTCAAGACCAGCCTGGGTGACAGAGAGGGACCTGCCTAAAACAAAAAAATAATTAAAAAATAAAATAATAGCCAGGCACAGTGACTCATGCCTGTAATCCCAGCACTTTGGGAGGTCGAGGGGGGTGGATCATGAGGTCAAGAGATCAAGATCATCCTGGCCAACATAGTGAAGCCTCTTCTCTACTAAAAATACAAAAATTAGCTGGGCGTGGTGGCATGTGCCTGTAACCCCAGCTACTCGGGAGGCTGAGGCAGAAGAATTGCTTGAACCTGGGAGGTGGAGGTTACAGTGAGCTGAGATTGAGCCACGGCACTCCAGCCTGGCGACAGGGCGAGACTACGTCTCAAAAAAAAAAAAAAAATAGTTAAAAATAATAAAATTAATAACAATACTTGCCCCATAGCGGTATTGCAAGGCCTCAGTGCGCCAGGATGTGAAGTGTCTAGAGCTGTGCCTGGCACAGAAGAGGAAGTCAGTACGTTAGCTGCCATCCTCCACACTTCTCCCCATAAAACACTATCCGTGCTCTCATCCGCGCATGCATGAAGACAGCTCTCTCTGCCCACACCCCCACAGTCACCATGGGGCCATAACCCTGCTGTGTCGTGGGCAGGGCCAGGATCCTCACCTCAGGCTTCCACTTCTGGCCCCAGGACCTTGTGGTGCCTACTTCCGCTGCCGGAATGGCAGGTGCATCCCCTCAAGCCTCGTGTGTGACCCCTGGGGCATGGACAACTGTGGCGACGGCAGTGACCAGGGCTCCTGGCTACCAGCCAACTGCAGAGGTCAGTGCGGGTGCTGCTTGGGTCCCACCGAACAGCTAGAGGGAAGCCTGGCCCTAACTCCTCTTCCCTAGGGCAGGGCCTCAGTGTGGAGCAGGAGAGAGGAAAGCAGAAGTGTGGAATTGGCTTAGGCCAAGGGCTGGAGGGGCAGAGCAGTCAGAGGCAGAACTATGCTGCAGATGATCTCATCCTGGGATTTCAAATGATGCTTTAGTGGTGGAAACTTTTGCTAAATGGGACCTGGCACAGAGGCCCAAGACATTTAAAGGAGAGATCCTCCAATCAACTCGATGGTGGGCCTGGGGCCCTGGCTGCCTGATGCCTCTCTGAGGGCCCTGAGTGTCACCTTCAAGGCATACTTTTTTTTTTTTTTTTTTTTTTTTTTTTTTAAGGGGCTTTTTTTTTCTGTTGCCCAGGCTGGGGTGCAGTGGTGAGATCTCAGCTCACTGCCACCTCTGCCTCCCAGGTTCCAGTGATTCTCCTGCCTCAGCCTCCGGAGTAGCTGGGATTACAGGCACCCACACGCCTGCGGGGTAGAGATTGGGTTTTACTATCTTGGCCAGGCTAGTCTTGAACTCCTGACCTTGTGATCCACCTGCCTCGGCCTCCCAAAGTGCTGAGATTACAGGCGTGAGCTACCACACTCAGCCTTCTTCTTTTTTTTTTAAAATGAACTTATTTATTTATTTATTGTTTTGAGATAGGGTCTTATTCTGTCACCCAGGCTGGAGTGCAGTGGCGCCATCTCGGCTCACTGCCACCCCTGCTTCTTGGGCTCAGGTGATCCTCCCACTTCAGCCTCCAGGGTAGCTGGGACTACAGGTGTGCCGCCATGCCCAGCTAATTTTTGTGTTTTTTGTAGAGACGAGGTCTCACTATATTGCCCAGGCTACTCTTGAACTCCTGGGCTCAAGTGATCTTCCAGCCTTGGCATCCCAAAGTGCTGGGATTACATGAACTTTATTTTTTAGGGTAGTTTTAGATTTACAAAAAAATTTAGAATATAGTACAGAAAATTCTCATATACTCAGCACTCAGTTTGGGGGCTATTATTGACATTTTACATTAATGAGACATTTGTTTTAATTAATGAAGTAATATTGTTAACTAAATCCACAGTTTATTCAGTTTTCCCTAGTGTTTACCTAATGTCCTTTTTCTGTCCCAGGATCCCATTCAGCATCTCATGTTACATTTATTTATTTAGTTAGTTAGTTACTTTCTTTCAGATAGTCTTACTCTGTCGCCCAGGCTGGAGTGCAGTGGTGCTGTCTCACTGCAACCTCTGCCTCCTGGGTTCAAGCGATTCTCCTGCCTCAGCCTCTGGTGTAGCTAGGATTACAGGCATGCATCACCAGTAGAGACGAGGTTTCAGCATGTTGGCCAGGCTAGCCTTGAGCTCCTGACCTCAAGTGATTCATCCACCTTGGCCTCCCAAAGTGCTGGGATTACCGGCTTAAGCCAACGCACCTGGCCCAATTTTTTGTATTTTTAGTAGAGACGGGTCTCACCATGTTGCCCAGGCTGGTGAACTCCTGACCTAAGGTGTTAGGGTGGTCCACCCACCTCTGCCTCCCAAAGTGCTGGGATTACAGGCGTGAGCCACCATACCTGGCCAGGGTTGCTATTTTTATATAAAGGAGTCAGGGAAGAACTTAAGCAGAGACCCACCAGGAGGCAAAGGAATGAGCTTGCCATGCATATGTCAGAAGAAAAGTCTTTAGGGTGGAGGACACAGCCAGTGCAAAGGCCAGAACAAGGCTGGAGTGTGGAGGGGAGGCGGGGCCAGGGAGGTGGGGCCAGGAAAGAAGAGGCGGGGCCAGGAAAGGGGCAGGGCCTTCGAGCCTCTTGGAGCAAGACACCATCTCAAAAAACACCAAAAAAACCAAACAAAAAATTAGCTGGGTGTGGTGGCCCTCGTATGTAGTCCCAGCTACTTGGGAGGCTGAGGCAGGAGAATCACTGGAACCCGGGAGGCAGAGGTTGCATTGGGCAACCTGAGTGCAGACCTGAGTGCAGGGAGATTGCACCACTGCCCTCCAGCCTGGGCCACGGAGGGAGACTCCATCTCAAAAAAAAAAAAAGCAACCCCGTGTCTGCCTACAGATGAATGGATAAACTAAATGTGGTCTAACTACACAATGGAATGCTTTGAAAAGGAAGGAAATTCTGACACATTCTACCACATGGATGAACCTTGAGGACGTAAGCGAAATAAGCCATTCCCAAAGGGATCTAGTGCATGACTCCACTTATATATGGACTAGCCAATTCCATTATCTATTAGAATGTATATTAGAAGTTGTTATTATTATTATTATTATTATTATTTTAAAGATGGGGTTTCACCATGATGGCCAGGCTGGTCTTGAACTCCTGACCTCAGGTGATCCACCCACCTCGGCTTCCCAAAGTGCTAGGATTACAGGCGTGAGCCACCACGCCTGGCCTAGAAGTTATTATTTTTGAGACAGAGTTTCACTCTGTCGCCCAGGCTGAAGTGCAGTGGCTCAATCGCGGCTCACTGCAGCCTCTGTCTCCTGGGTTCAAATGATTCTCTTGCTTCGGCCACCCAAGTAGCTGGGATTACAGGCACCTACCACGACCGGCTAATTTTTGTATTTTTAGTAGAGACAAGGTCTCACCATGTTGACCAGGCTGGTCTCAAACTCCTGAGCTCAAATGATCCACCTGCCTCAGCCTCCCAAAATGGTGGGATTACGGTGGGATTACAGGCATGAGCCACTGTGCCCAGCAAAGTTATATTATTGTTATTATTATTATTATTATTATTATTTTTTGAGACGGAGTTTCGCTCTTGTTACCCAGGCTGGAGTGCAATGGCGCGATCTCGGCTCACCGCAACCTCCGCCTCCTGGGTTCAGGCAATTCTCCTGCCTCAGCCTCCTGAGTAGCTGGGACTACAGGCACGCACCACCATGCCCAGCTAATTTTTGTATTTTTAGTAGAGACGGGGTTTCACCATGTTGACCAGGATGGTCTCGATCTCTTGACCTCGTGATCCACCCACCTCGGCCTCCCAAAGTGCTGGGATTACAGGCGTGAGCCACCGCGCCCGGCCTGTTATTATTATTTTTTGAGACGGAATTTTGCCTTGTTGCCCAGGCTGGAATGCAATGGTTTGATCTTGGCTTGCCACAACCTCCTCCTCCCAGGTTCAACCGATTCTCCTGTCTCAGCCCCTCCCAAGTAGCTGGGATTACAGGCATGCGCCACCATGCCCAGCTAATTTTTTGTATTTTTAATAGAGACAGGGTTTCTTCTTGTTGGTCAGACTGGTCTTGAACTCCCAACCTCAGATGATCTGCCCGCTTCGGCCTCCCAAAGTGCTGGGATTACAGGCGTGAGCCACCATGCCTGGCCTATTATATTATTAATAACAGTAAATATATTATCATATTTTAATATGTATATTAGAATAGTCAAAATCACAGAGACAGGAAGTAGAGCCATGGTCACCAGGGGCTGGAGAGGTGGGGACAAGGAGGATATGGAGTTAATGCAATTAAAGGAGTTGATGGAGTTTGTTTGGGAAGATGCAAAGTTCTAGAGCTGGATGGCAGTGATGGCTGCACAATGTGAACATGTACTAGTCTGTTCTCGCATTGCTATAAAAAAACCCAAAACACCCAAGACTGGGTAATTTATAAAGAAAAGAGGTTTAATTGTCTCACAGTTCTGCAGGCTGTACAGGAAGCATGATGCTGGCATCTGCTCAGTTTATGGAGATGCCTCAGGAAACTTACAATCTTGGCAGAAGGCGAGGGGAGCAGGCGTGGCCAGAGCAGGTGCACGCGCGAGAGTGAGGGGAGGCGCTGCTCACTCGTAAACAACCAGCTCTTACAGGAACTCACTAGCACAAGAACAGCACCAAGAGGATGGTGCTAGACTATTCATGAGAAATCCACCCCAGGAGCCAATCACCTCCCAGCAGGCCCCACCTCCAACGCTGGGGATTACAATTTGACCTGAGATTTGGGTGGGAACACAGATCCAAATCATAACAATGTATTTAATGCCCTGTACACCTACACATGTTAAAATGGTAAATGTTATGTGCTTTGCCACAGTGAGAAAAGCAGCAGCCCTGCTTCCTGCCAACATGCTTAATTTTTCTCACTAGCACCTGTCTCCTTTAGACATAAATTCTTTTTTTTTTTTTTTTTTTTGAGATGGAGTCTTGCTCTGTCACCCAGTCTGGAGTGCAGTGGCGTGATCTTGGCTCACTGCAACCTCTACCTTCTGGGTTCCAGCAGTTCTCCTGCCTCAGCCTCCCAAGTAGCTGGGATTACATGCTCGAATCACCACGCCTGGCTAATTGTTTTGTTTTTAGTAGAGACTAGGTTTCTCCATGTTGGCTAGGCTGGTCTTGAACTTCTGACCTCAAGTGATCTGCCCACCTTGGCCTCCCAAAGTGCTGGGATTACAGGCTTGAGCCACTGCGCCCTGTCCTTTGGACATAAATTCTATTCACGTGTTTTGTTTCTCCCCACACTAAACTCCCAGTTTCATGAAGACATATTTGTCATGTGCTCACGGTTGTATCCCCCAGTTGCTAGAGCCAGGCTTGGGGCACAGTAAATGCCCAAGAAATACTAGTCACATGAATGAAGGAATGAACCTCTGTGCCTCAGTTTCCTTATCTGTGAAATGGGGATAAACCTCACCCTTCAGAATTGTCGTAAACTTTAAGTGGAATACATAGGGAAAGAGCCTGGCACAGAGTACGGCCCTTTCCTTGTGTATTAAAAAGTTTACAGAAAATGTTCATGGCTGGGCATGGTGGCTCATGCCTGTAATCCCAGCACTTTGGGAGGCTGAGGCAGGTGGATGGCTTGAGCTCAGGAGTCAAGACCAACTTGGGCAACATAGTGAGACCCTGTCTCTACAAGAAATAAAAAAAATTAGCTAGGCTTGGTGGCACATGCTGGTAGTCCCAGCTACTCGGGAGGCTGAGGTGAAAGAATTGCTTGAGTCTGGGAGGCAGAGGTTGCAGTGAGTGGTGATTGCACCACTGGACTCCAGCCTGGGCAACAGAGTGAGACCCTGCCCCAGTACCTGTGTACCCTCTTCCTTGAGAAGTAGCTCCATTCATAGACCGACCCTAGGCCCTGGAGCCGGACTGTGCAAATTCACGTCCTCCTGTCACTTCAGCTAAGTGACCCTGGCAAATGACTTAACCTTTCTGTAAAATGGAAACACAAAGAGTTGTACAAACTCAGGGAAGTCTTGTGAGGATCGAATGAAACACACAAGGGTCTCAGAAAGGCCAGTTCTCCGTGTGTTTGTTCTGTTATTTCCCATGCAGGTCCCTCTCCGGAGCCCAGCCAGATAGGAAGTACAGATGCCCATACCTCCAGACCCCTGACTTCCTCCCCAGCTCTCGGGTCTGCAGGATCCCTCCGGATTGCAGCTGAGAGGAGTTCCCCAGCAGGCAGGGACCCCACGAGACAGGATGCCACTTTGGAATGCTGCTCCTACTCTTCCCACCAAAATCACGCCTGTCCCTCTCCAGGTGACAGGGACAGGGGCAGTGCGCCCAGGCCAAGGCCTCAGTAGACTCTCTCCTCTCACAGGCCCCCAGCTCCGAGGGGTGGCGCTGGCCTCCTCGATGCTCCTGACCTCTGCTGGCCTCCTCGTGGGCCTCCTTTGGTGCTGCTGCTCTCCTAGCCGGCTGGCCTGGCGACCTGGTGCCCGTGGCCTCTGCGTCCACTGCAGCACAGCCTGTACCATGTGCTCCCCATGTCCTGGCCAGGTCTCCCCAGCAGGCTGCAGCTGAGCGGCCCAGCCTTCCAGGATCAGGGAGGCCGTCCCTAGAGGGACTTTGGGCACACAGGAATGAGACTGGGCTCTGGGGTCAGACAGACTCTTTGGGTTCTAACCCCCTGGCTCTCTGTCTGTTGTTGAACAGGGCCCCTAACCCTCTGAGACTCAGCTGCCACTCCAGAAAATAGGATGATTCCTACCTCACAGGGTTAGGGGCCTGGGGGCCTCGCTGATCCAAAGCCACCTTGCTTCACCCCCAGATCTCACCTGCCCTGCTCTGCCCCACCCACAGGCACCACTGAGTGAGGCCCTCATCAAAGACACGGGAGCCCCCTGGCGGGGATAGCACCGTTTATTAAGAAAAATCAAGACAAAGACCACAGGAGGGTCCTTTCTAGGACACAGAGGCCAGGCATCCCAACCCCAGTCTGGGGGCCACTGGCAGGATGGCACTCCCCCTCGCTGGGTCTTCAGGCTCCCACCGATAGGGCAGGGTGGTCACATCCCCCCTCCCTCCCAGTCATGAGTCCTGCCTTCCCCCACCCAAGGCACTAGCTCTTCAAGCACCAGCAGCTTCCAAGGAGTCCCTGGGCCTTCCCTTCCAGATGAGTGGGGAAGTGGCCTGGGGTACGAGGGGCCTGGTGGGCAGGGCCCTCTCAGTGCTGGGCTCTTCCAGTAGCAGCTCTGGGAAAGAGCTGGGGTGGCCTTTCCCTTACAGCCCCTAAGGGAGGGACCCCAGGCTGTGTACTGGCAGGAGTGGGTGGGAATGCAGGCCAGCAGGGCATGGTGGGAGGGAGAGGCTGCCAGAGGGAGGTGCCAGGGGCTGGGTGGAGGTGGGTGAGGGTGCTGAAAAACAAGCTGGTGGGGATGGGGACTGCCCGCCCAGGGGTGAGCTGCCTTTTGCTGCATAGCCGTCACTAAGGACAATTCCCAATCCTGAGTGGGTGGCAGAGACTCCTGAGATGCCCATCTCAGGCAGCTGTGGGACACCTGGCTGTGAGCCGAGGCTGGCTCTCCTAGAAGGGAGGACTGCCCAGGGGCTGCAGAAATGGGCCGCCTGGCTCCACTGCGGGGGTTCCATCAGTGGGTAGGGAGCAGTGGGGGCAGCTCTGGGCCCACCCAGCTGCCGTTCCTGACCCCAAGTCCTGGTGTTTTTCTGAGGGACCCACTCCCGTCCATCCTGCCTTGCCCGCCAGCCTTGCGGCTTTGCCCAGCTGTGTGTGTGGGGGGTGGCGTGCCTACCTCCAGTCCAGCCCAGGGTGGTAGCAGCAAAGCGTGGCATCGCCTCAGTTTCTTACAAAAGTTCATAATAATATTAATAATAATATACTCGACATTGTCGGGCTGGGGCACGGCCCAGGAGTCCGTGTGGGGCAGGCCGGTGCCTACGAGGGGCAGGGACGTGTGTTGGCCCCGGCCTGGGCGCGGTGCTGCAGGTCCAGGGGCTGTGGGGGTGGGGCGCCGGGTCGGGCCGAGTGCAGCACCACGTTCTTGACACAGCCTGTGATGCCCGAGGAAAACCTGCCTCGGGTCAGCGTGGCCACTTCGGGAGCTCCGCCTGCCGGGAGGTGAGAGGACAGGGCCTGTGTGCTCCGGCCGCCCAGGAGGCGAGGAAGGCCAGGCGAGCTCCAGCCCCAGGGAGTGCCATACCTGCCCTTGCTCTGAGGAGGAGCCCCGGACTTACCGATGTAGACACTGCCCTTGGCGTTGACTGCCACATTGGGACCTGGGGACTGGCCGCTGACCAGCTCCTCACCATCGACCTGGATGGAGCCTCTGCGGCCCTCCCTGCAGTGGAACTGGGTCAGGCCCTTTCCCACAAACTTCTGGTCCTCCCTGGCCCCACGACTGAGTCCCCTCCCTCTGGCACTGAGACTCCAGCCTCAGAAGTCTGTCCCCGTTCCCCCAGCTCTTTCTTTCCCCCACTGAACGAGAGATCCGGCCCCACAAGCACAGCTTCATTTCTCTGCCCAGGTTTCCTCCTGCTCCTGGGGCGACTGCCTGCCCCCAGTGGAGTTCAGTGAGATGGAAGCCTGAGCCCTGATTGGTGCATTCTTCCCTCCCCTGGCTTCAAGTTCTGACTCCACAGAGCTCAATGCCTGCCTCTCCGCCCATGGTGGGGGGCATCCTGCCCCACTCCAGAATGCTGGGCCCCATCTTGAGTGCCCAGAAGACTCCCTTACCGCAGTGCTGTCACCCGGTGCCACTCGCCGTCATTGATGGGGTCCTCAGAGACCAGGCGGGCCTCCCCACTGCCCAGCTGGTACCTGCAGTCATCCAGGCCCAAGAAGTATGAGCTGGGGCAGGACTGGGGGGTGGGGTGCTGGGACCAGGGAAGGGAGAGGAAGGGCCAGGTGCTGGACCCACCTGAAGACTAGGTGCCCATCTTGAAGCCCCAGGCTGATGAAGTCATGGCCTCGGCCAGTCTCTCCTGCCTCCTGCCAGGGAAGCACAGGGCCTCTGGGGTCCTCAGCTTGGAGAGCAGAGGCTCTGCCTTCCCCTCTCCCCACCACCCTGGCCACCAGAAAGCTGACTTCCTGCCCTAGGAGCCTAAGAGCCCGGCTGGATGCCTACACTCACCACACCCTGCCAGAGCAGGAGGCCATTAGCTGTGCTGGTCCGAACCTCCAGCTCAATGGTCTCGGGCACCTCGGGTAGGCTGTGGAGGAAGGGTGGGTGAGGGGACAGAAGTCCCAGATTCCCATCCTCCCCATTAGGCCCACCGGCTATCCGAACGCCAGTCTCACCTCCTGGAGAAGATGCGGCCAGGGAAGGCAAGGAAGCCATCGTCGTGGAAATAGGCTCCGTACTGCCCAGGGGCATCTGTGGGAGAGAGGGGGATGGTGATGCACTCGCCGAATCAGGCATCAATCCCCATCAGTTCCCCTGATCCCTGCCTCCACGCCAATACGCAGGACTGGGGGCTCTGAGCCTGCAGTCCCTGGGGACCCAAGGGGGCTGTGGATAGAATTCAGGGGACCTGTGGCCTTGGATGGGAAAGCATTACCCCTGCATTTCACTCACCTCTCACTGAAACTGAGAGTTCTTTCAATGAGATGTAGGCAAGAACCCAAAGCAGTGGTGGCAGGACCTATGACTTTGTTACTAGTATTTGCTTATCACATTACAGGAGCTGCAAATATTTCAAAACCTCATTTACACATACTGCTGTTTGGAAATCGTGGTACCTACCGAGACCACCACCAGATCGTGTAATTTGATGTGTTAATAAAGAAGCACGTATAGAGCAAGTCAGAAAACTTAAAAAGTGTTTTGAATCCTTCAGCATAATTGCTTTCCTTAAATCTATGTATTTTATTTTGTGCAGTCAAAAGGATCCGTGTCTTTTGACTGGCCATGCTGTTTGGCTTTAGTGCTGGAAGTCCCACATCCCAAGAAACCCCTCAGTCCAGAGCTACTGGGACGATTGGTCACCTTGGACCGTGGCAATAAATGGCTCAGAGCCTTGGTGTATCTTACAGATGGGCAGGAAGGCTCAGGCGAGAGACTGGCTCAGGAGGTGGGGGGAACTAAGATTGCAACCTGGGCCTTTCATCCCTGATGTCCATACCATGTGTGGCTCCACCACTCCCAGCCCTATCTGCTCACGACCCATCCTTCAGGCCAGAACTGGCCACAGTAGGTCTGGCAGGTGTCAAGAGTAGGGGACCCTCTGCTACCCTCCACCAGATGATGAGGAGGATGGCTGACATTTACCAAGCACCTGCGACGTGCCTATGCGGGGGGTGTCCCACCCAGCTACAGACACCATTGCATTTAACTCAATCCTTACAACAACCTCATGAATGAAGATTATATATAGAAATTTTTAATTTTTTTTATTATTATTGAGATGGAGTCTCGCTCCGTGGCCCAGGCTGGAGTGAAGTGGTGCGATCTCAGTTCACTGTAACCTCTGCCTCAAAGGTTCAAGCAATTTTGCCTCAGCCTCCTGAGTAGCTGGTACACACCACCATACCTGGCTAATTTTGTATTTTTGTTAGAGATGGGGTTTCACCTTGCTGACCAGGCTGGTCTTGAACTCCTGATCTCAGGTAATCCACCTGCCTCGGCCTCCCCAAGTGCTGGGATTACAGGCATGAGCCACTGCGCCCAGCACTATTTTTTAGTTTTTTTGAGACAGGGTATCACTCTGTTGCCCAGGCTGGAGTGCAGCGATGCAATCACAGCTCACTACGGCCTCGCCTCCTGGGCTCAAGTGATCCTTTTGACTTGGCTGGGACCATAGCCATGTGCCACCACACCCAGCTAATTTTTAAATTTTTGTAGAGATGAGGTCTCCCTGTGTTGCCCAAGCTGATCTTGAACTCCTGGGCTCAAGCAATCCTCCTGCCTGTCTCACGAGTAGCTGGGACCACAGATGAGCGCCACCATGCCCAGTACTTTTTGTATTTTTTTGTAGAGACAAGATTCCTCCATGTTGCCCAGACTGGTCTGGAACTCTCTGGGCTCAAGCAATCTGCCTGCCACAGCCTCCTGAAGTGCTGGGATTATAGGCATGAGCCACCATGCCCAGCTGAATATATTAAAAACAGCTAACATTCTGTACCGACTGTGTATAGACATAGTTCTAGGAATTTAAAATGCACTAAGTAGATGAGTGCAGTGACCCATGCCTGTAATCCAGCACTTTGGGAGGCCGAGGCAGGTGGATCACCTGAGGTCAGGAGTTCAAGACCAGCCTGGTCAACATAGAAACCCCTTCTCTACTAAAAATATAAAAATTAGCTGGGTGTGGTGGCGGGCGCCTTGTAATCCCAGCTACTCAGGAGGCTGAGGCAGGATAATCTCTTCAATCTGGGAGGTAGAGGCTCCAGTGAGCCGAGACTGTGCCACGGCACTCCAACCTGGACAAGAGAGCAAGACTCCACCTTAAAAAAAAAGGTCGGGTGTGGTGGCTCATACCTGTGCTATTAGCACTTTGGGAGGCTGAGGTGGGTGGATCATGAGATCAGAAGTTCGAGACCAGCCTGACCAACATGGTAGAACCCCATCTCTACTAAAAATACAAAAAAAAAGAAAAAAGAAAAATTAGCCAGGTGTGGTGGCACATGCCTGTAATCCCAGCTACTTGGGAGGCTGAGGCAGGAGAATCACTTGAACCTGGGAGGCGGAGGTTGCTGTGAACCAAGATCACGCCATTGCACTCCAGCCTGGGCAACAAGAGGGAAACTTTGTCTCAAAAAAAAAAAAAAATGCACTAAGTAATTTTACTCTCACACAAAATTTCATCCAAATCCTTAGGGAAAGATGTTAGTCATCTCCATTTAAGTGAGGCACAGAGAGGTTAAGTGACTCATCCAAAGTTTCACAGCTAGTAAGTGGGAGAGCTAGGATTTGAGCCTAAGGAGGTTGGCTCCAAGTCTATACTCCTTAGTGCATTTTTTTTTTTTTTTGAGACAAAGTTTCGCTCTTGTTACCCAGGCTGGAGTGCAATGGCGCGATCTCGGCTCACCGCAACCTCTGCCTCCTGGGTTCAGGCAATTCTCCTGCCCCAGCCTCCTGAGTCGCTGGGATTACAGGCACACGCCACCATGCCCAGCTAATTTTTTGTATTTTTAGTAGAGACGGGGTTTCACCATGTTGACCAGGATGGTCTTGATCTCTTGACCTCGTGATCCACCCGCCTCGGCCTCCCACAGTGCTGGGATTACAGGCTTGAGCCACCGCGCCCGGCCCCAAGTCTATACTCTTAACCACTATACCACTGCCTGGCCTATTATGTTAATGATATGTAAGAAGAGATGTGTCTGTAAAGGGTTAGACAGCACCTGGAAACATTCAATCAGCATTCACTCTTGACTGTGTGCTTTGCTTTCCAGCAGACGGTGGACTTCCTGGGAATGAGGGTCTTGCTTTATGCATCTTTTTTTTTTTCCCTGTCACTCAGGCTGGAGTGCAGTGGCACAATCTGGGCTCACTGCAACCTCCGCCTCCTGGGTTCTAGCTGCCTGGATTCTACTGCCTCGGCCTCCCGAGTAGCTGGGACTACAGGGGTCTGCTACCACATCTAGTTAATTTTTTGGATTTTAGTAGAGATGGGGTTTCACCACATTGGCCAGGCTGGTCTTGAATTCCTGACCTCAGGTGATCCACCCACCTTGGCCTCCTAAAGTGCTGGGATTACAGGTGTCAGCCACCTTGCCCGGCCATTATCCATCTTATATTTACTCTCCCAGGGCAAGGATGGGCACGCGATAGATGTTTGTTGACTGAATACGCAAATACAGAGGAAGAAACCGAGATCAGAGTGGTTTCAAAGGCCTACCCATCATCACCTAGCCAGTGAGTATGGGGCAGGCCCCAGCTCCGTGTGGCTGAGCTCTTCTTCATTCTGTCTCTTTGTGCCCAGCAAGCTCCTCATAGAAGCCGCTTTGCTTATAGGCCAGAATTGGGGGTGTGGGGTAACTGGAAGGGTGAGCTGAGGCTGAAGCTGAAGGGAGGCCATGGCAAGTACTCACCACTGCCCCCGCTGCCTTCAAGATGCCAGTCAGACTCTGCTATGCCATGTCCAGAGCCTGTGGAGAAGGGCAGGGTCCAGTTGGTGGGCAGACACACCTGTGGGTACTATGTAGAGCCCTGGGGCCCCAGGACGATGGAGGTGGAGTGGAGAGAAGCCAGGCCTGGGTACCTTGTTGGCAGCGTGGGCCAGAGAAGCCAGGGAGACAGAGGCAGCGGGTGCCCTGGCAGGTGCCCCCATGCAGACAGGGCTCGTGGAGCTGGCAGGGGTTCTCCTCGTGCTCACACAAGTCTCCTGCGGGCCAGGGCAGAGGTGAGGGGAGGGGTAGGCGTTTGCTGGAGGTGTCGCTGAACACCCGTGCCCACCCCCCTCTGGTGCCCTGGACAGGCTTTCCCACCTTTGAATCCATCTCGACACAGGCACTGGAACTCATACTCGCCAGCAGGCATGCACGTGGCACCATGCTGGCATGGCTGGCGCTCACATGGGGAGCTGTCGTAGCATTGCCCGATGCCCTGACTGCCTACGAAACTGTAGGTGAGGTCCAGTCGTTTGCCATTCACTGACACCTGTGGGCACAGGAACACCGAGAGACTGAAGGGGCGTGGAGGCAGAGGCCCAGGTGTACCGGCAGGGAGAAGAATGCGGCAGCGGGCAGATCGGAGCCCATGGTGGGCAGCACGGATTCTCGGTGTGGGCAGGAGGCACAGGCGTTGAGTGCCTACTGGGTGCCAGAAACATTCATCTGTGCAGATGAGCCTCAGCCCAACCCTTCAAAGTAGGTGTGATCGTGCCCATTTTACAGAGGAGGGAACTGAGACTCAGAGGTGCAGCATCCTGGCCCAGGGCCCAGGGCCCAGGACTACCTACAGGTGGAGGGGCCCAGGGTGCACCCCTCCCCTCCACTTGTCCCGAGGAGGCTGCTCTTACCTCGCCCACACAGCCTCGGAAGTGAGTGCTCACATTGGTGGCTGGGGACAGTGGCACAGAAGGCTCCACGCCCCCCAGGTAGAGCAGGGTGTGCAGGTTGAGGCCCTGGCTCTTCCCGGGCGAGGAGCGCAGCACGGGGCGTCCACCGTTCACCCGCAGGCTGCCGTCCTTGTTGAGGCGCTCTGCAGACACGCGGTGCCAGCGGCCCAGGGCCAGCGGCTCAGTGCTCCGCAGAACGGCCAGCCCTGGGGAGGATGTCGGATAGGGTTGGGCATGTGGGGGCACACAGAGCTCCCTGCCCTCTCCACCACAAACAGGGCCCTGAGTAGACGGAGAATGACCTACAGCTTGCTGTATTCCAGATGAGGAGCCCGACGCTCAGAGAGGCCCAGGGACTTGCCTCAAGTGACACACAGAGACAAGATGACCCCTGCATTTATTCCCCATGCCTCCCTGGGGCTGGGAGAGCTGAGGGGGGCACAAGGCTTGGTGTGCAAAGGCCTTCATTTGGTGCCGGGTGCTTACCTGACCCCAACTCATAGCGGAACTCCAGGTGGCCTCCCACCATCGCCAGGGACACAAAGTCCTCCACAGGCCCGCTCTTCCCCCCGCTGAATAGCAGGACCCCGTCAGGAGCGAGTGGCTTGAATTCCACGTCCAGGCGTAGCTCATGGTGTGTGTTGGTGAGGGCGGGCAGCGCCAGGTAGGAGCCGGTGCCCGACATCGAGGGGGTGGTCACTGTCACACCTGCAGCAGCCACAGCTCAGCCGAGGCAACGGGGAGCCTGGGCCCTCCGGTGGGGTCCAGTGACTCTGCCTTTCTCACTCTGGGACCCCTGCCCGCATCACTCTCCAGGTCCAGAGGCTCAGGACCAGCTGACACCAACTGCAGCGGCCCAAGGGCCCCCCGCCCTTGCAGACGAGGCTGGGAGGAGCTCTGATAGGACTGGGGTCCTCTTTGGGGCCCACGCTCACGAAGGGATTCAGGCTGGACAGACACGTGGCCAGGTGGCTTCCAGACCCTCTGGCTTGGGAATCGTTTTATCATCCATATGGCCCATCATGGCCTCAGAGTGCCCCACCCAGCCTCCTCAGCTGACACTGGGACCCTGAGAGGCCTCAGGCCTGGCTCCACTCACCTTCCTCACACCGCAACCCTGAGCGGCCCAGGTGGCAGCGGCAGGTGTAGCCTCGACCGTCAGGCCGGTTCACACAGGTGGCGTCGGGCCCACAGGCCTCTGGGGGGCACACAGGTCAGTGAGGAGGACATTGAGGTGACTGTGGAGGGAGTGAGGCTCTGACGCCAGAGCCCTGCCCATCACACCCTGGGGGGCTCAGCTGGTGAGGGCCAGGCCAGCTGTCTGGGAGGCCTTGGGCTGCCTGCGAGGCCTCGGAGGAGGGAGCAGAGGAGAGCATGGCGGGAGCCAGAAGAGGCTGAGGGGAGGACCGCAGGGAAAGCAGTCGAGGGACTCTGTGTCTGCAGGTTCTTCAGAGGCTAGACCTGGATAACAGTGTCAGGGCGGCGAGGGGACATCTGGTGGCGGTAATGGGGTGGGTACCTGGATAATAAGATAGGACTGGGGGCTGGGCGCGGTGGCTCACGCCTGTCGTCCCAGCACTTTGTGAGGCTGAGGAGGGCGGATCACCTGAGGTCAGGAGCTCGAGACCAGCCTGGCCAACATGGTGAAACCTAATCTTTACTAAAAATACAAAAAATTAGCCATGGGTGGTGGTGGACACCTGTAATTCCAGCTACTCAAGAGGCTGAGGCAGGAGAATCGCTTAAACCTGGGAGGCGGAGGTTGCAGTGAGCCAAGATCATGCCACTGCACTCCAGCTTGGGCAACAAGAGTGAAACTTCGTTTCAAATGAAAAAGAAAGAAAGAAAAAAAAAGAGATGGGCCTAGGATGGGGGAGGATAGTGGTAAGAATTTGGTCAGTAGGGATGGAGGAGGGGAAGCAGCAGGGATGGGGTGAGGGCCACTGGGAAGCAGAGATGGGGGATGGGTACGTGGGAGGAGAGGTGAGTGCTCAGGTAAGAGGGGGGTATGGAAGTGCCACCCAGTTGAGATGGTGGTGGATATGGAGAGGCAGCAATGGGAAGAGGCAGGCACTTGGGGTGACAGCGACTCTTGGTGGCGGGTGCATACCTGGATGGCAGTGCAGGGCCTGCGAGTGCTCACAGCGGCTCCCGGTAAAGCCAGCTGGGCAGACACACACGTAGCTGCTGCTCTCGGAGTCGTGGCACTGACCGCCATTCTACAAAGCAGCCCAGAAGTAAGTCAGGCCCCTCCCCCACTTTCCCACAGGCGCCAGCCACAGCTGGGGGGGAAGGCCAGGTTGTGTATGGGCTGTGGGGTCACCTGACAGGGCCGGTCCCGACAGGTGGGGCAGTGGGAGATGCCGTGCGCTGTGAGGTTGAGGTCATGGAAGACGATCTCCTCGCCCTGAATGCGCAACTCCCGGACACAGCCTGGGGGCGGATGGGCAGGATGAGCGCAGGGCGTGGGTGTCCCAGCCCACAGCCTGTGGGGCCCTCCCAGGCTCTCCAGGGCTCTCCAGCCAGCCAGGTAAGGCCTGACCTCAGCTGGAGGTGGAGAGGGGCTCACCTACAAAGCCGCTGCTCAGCCCTGCCTTGGGGATGGCACCATAGTCAGGGTAGCCGCCCAGGTAGAGCTCCTCGTTTAGGTCCAGGCCCTGGAACTTGCCCTGGGGAGGTGGGGCAGTCAGGAATGGCAACAGAGGCTGGCCAGGGGCGGGTGGGGGCTGGAAGTAGTGGGATAGGGTTGGGTCTCACCTGGGAGGTCCCGTTGACCGGGGCCAGGTCACCCACGATCAGGGAGCCCTGGGTGAGGCTGCGCAGCAGGGTGATGGTGTGAAAATGGCCCAGGGTCAGTGGTGTGGGGTGGCGGATGGTGGCCATGCCTGAGCCGGCATCGAACCTGCTCCAGGGAGTGGGCCGGGACAGGAGAGAGTGGATGTGGGGTTTGTAAGAAGGGCTAAGGGGCCCCAGAGGAGGGATGTCACTACTTCCTGTAGTCTCTGCCCTGGGGCTGCTCCAGTTCCTGTCCATGTCTTGTCCTCCCACCCATGACCCGTGCCCCAGATCTTCTCTCCCCACATCTTTTCGCTGGGAGCTTTTCCAGAGCAGCCCACAGGGAGCCAGTGGCCCCCGGGCTCAGGGTCCTGCAGCCTAACACCTGGCCTCCAGGCTCCTCTGAGGGCTCCTCTCTCCCTGAGATCACCTTGTTTCTTTGTTTATGGCTTGTTTATTCTTCCCCAGCTAGAATATGCCTTCCCACAAGAGCCAGAATTTGGTCTGTTTTGTTATACCTGTATCAATGCTCAGCAAACACCTGATGAATGAATGAATGAATGAATGAATGAATGAATCATGGCCTGCAGCAGTCCCAAGTCTGAGGTTGCACCCTCCTCCATCTGGCTGGCATACTATTCCTACTCCAGCAGATTGGGTGGTCACCAAGGGTAGCGGCCACATAGTCTCCTTCCTCCAGATGTCCTTTGTATAACTGAGCCCAGGGTAGTGCTTGACGGACCATAGCCCTGTGTCCAGTCCCCCTATACGTGGGGAGGCCGGGGGTCTCACCGGAACTCGGGCCTTCCACCCACGAGGCCGAAGGAGATGAAGTCGGGCTGCCGGTTGGCCAGGTTGGTGGGGCTCCCTGGGACTCGCTTCTGCCCATTGTATAGCAGCATCCCTGAGTGGGCATCACTGGGTCAGGGGCCTACCATCCAGTCAGGCTCCCCATCCTCCCCCACCCCAGAAACCACCCAGGCTCTTGAGCCTGTCCACTCTCGGAACCTGCCCCTCCCTCTGGCAGTCGTCACAAGCCAGGGCCCTCTCACGATCTCAGGGCTGGTGCCCCAAATGCCAGGGCTTTGCTGAGAGCCCCTGGAAAGAAACTGAATTTGCTTCACACACACTGGAGAGGCTCCCTCAAGGAGGAGAGGGAGGCAGAGACTCACCCGAGTAGAGGAGGAGGCCTGGACAGTGAAAGTCAGAGACCCGTAAGAGAGAGAGAGGAGGAAAGGGTGAGATGGAGGAAGAGGAGGGGGGAAGAGCACAGACAGGGAGAGGAAGCTGGGACAGGAGGACTAGGAGTGACGCCTGGTGGCAGAGGAGCCATGAGGGGGCTGGAGATACCGCAGAGAAGCGGGGAGGCGTGAGAGAAGGCATACCAGAGTGGAGGCCTGGAGGTCTGGGGGCTTCTGGAGAGGGAGGGCTGAGGGAACAGGGCAGGACTGAGGGGCAGCTGGGGCTCAAGCCATGATGGCAGTTACTCCACGAGGCCCCTCAACCCAGGCCAGCCCACCCCACAAACCAACCCTCCTGCTCACCATCGGCTGAGTCGGGCCGGAAGGTGATCTTGATCTGGAACTTCCTGTAGGCATCCTTGATGGTGGGCAGCGGCAGGAAGGAGTAGGGGGTCTGCGTGAAGTAGGGCACCACCCGCTCTGCCGGCAGAGAGCACCGTTGGAGACCCTGCCCTTCAGGGAGTGGGCAGCGCACTGCCAATTCTTGCGGGTGATGTCTTACCTGGCACCTGCAGATGGGCAAAGGCTTTGACCTTGCCCTGGCGGTTAGTGGCGGTACAGACGTAGGTGCCCGCATCCTGGGGTCGGACTGAGGGCAGCATCAGCATGTTATTCTCCAGGCGGCTGTCGGGGGGCAGGCTGCCATCCACCTGCAAACGTGCCAGCACTGAGGGCCCTGGCCTTGGCCCATAGCTCCAGGGACCTGCCTCTCATTTGTGCCTCAGGCCCACCTTCCAACATTGAGCGTTTACTCTTGGCCAAGCATGTGCCACATCCTGGGGACACAGATGCTTGAGAACTGGTCCCAGCCCCTCAGGGACGCCCGCGGGTTCCCTCTCCAGCACTTACCTTGCTCCAGCTGATGTCAGGAGTTGGGTAGCCTGAGGCTATGCAGGGAAAGACAGCTGCAGAGCCGGCAGGCACACGGACTTCTTGGGGCGTTGAGATCTGGGGCAAGGCTGGGAGGCGTGGAAGAGACATAGGCCATCTACATGATTGTCCCAGATGTGTGCCCAGCTACCCTGATTCATCCCATCCTCACACCACCCCTTGAAGGGAGGCACTACATTCCATTTCATAGATCAGGAAATTATGGCTTAGAGGAGAAAAGCAGCCGTTCACTCCTGGTGGGGCAGAATCAGGGGTCATGGCCAGATCCACTTCACTCCACAGCCTGGGACCTCTTCAACATGCCCGGGCAAAAAACCGTGCAGCCCTTTGGGGACTTGAGAAGTGGGTGCTAGGGGCAGTATAGGTAAGAAAGTTTGGAGACAAGTTACAGGGCTTGGGGTAAAAAGGAATTGCCTTTAAAGAACACACAGTATTGGTTCGGTGCGGTGGCTGACACCTGTAATCCAGCATTTTGGGAAGCCAAGGTGGGCAGATCACAAGGTCAGGAGTTCAAGACCAGCCTGACCAACAAGGTGAAACCCTGTCTCTCCTAAAAATACAAAAATTAGCCGGGTGTGGTGGCACATGCCTGTAATCCCAGCTACTCAAGAGGCTGATGCAGGAGAATCCCTTGAACCTGGGAGGTGGAAGTTGCAGTGAGCCGAGATCGTGCCACTGTACTCTATCCTGGGTGACAGAGTAAGATTCCATCTCAAAAAAAAAAAAAAAGAACACACAGCGTTTGTGTCTGCCCTGCATCTGTTGTCCTGGTTTACTCTCTATTAGGTTTGTTTGTTTTCTAGGTTATGTCTCTGCCCTCAGACTACGCTGCAGGTCTCCCCCAGCAGAGCAGACACTCCCTGCAGATGAGGACGAGGTTTCTTTTTTCTTTTTGATGCTCCATGGCCTCGCTTGGTCCCTGTCCATTCCAGGCTGCCCTGGGGGAACCTCACTTTTATCCCCAGTTGCTACCCCGTTATGAAACCTGTCCCTTAAATACATACAATGGAAAATATTCCAAGAGAACGAAAGGGAGAGCAGAGCAGGCAGGCAGGAGAAGCCCTCGCCCTACTCACTGTCCCCAACAGCAGTCCCCACCGGCCTCTACCTTGTACCAGCAGCAGCACATGGGATTGTGTGGTGCCGGCTGAGTTGGTGGCAGTGCAGCGATATTGTCCTGCATCAGCCAGCTCTACATGGGAGATCCTGACGACGCCTCCACTCTGCACAATGCCAGGCCGCAGGCGCCCTCCAACTTTGCTCCATGTCACCTGAGGCTTGGGGTCACCCAGTGCCAGGCATTCGAATTCCACGGCATGGCCAACCACCACGGTCTGCACAGAGGTCCGGATGTTGATGAGCACGGAGGGCAGGGCTGGGGGGGAGGGAGGCAGAGGGCCAGTGAGATCAGTCACTGAAGGCCTGGCCCGAGGGAGGCCATACACTGCCCGAGAAGAGGTGAGCACTGAAGCTCCAGCATTCATTCATTCCTCATTCACTTTTTCATGCATTCACTTACAAACACGCTCACTTGTCGGGTCTATGTAGTTACTCACTCATGTGTCCTCTTATTCTTTTTTTTTTTTAAGAGACGGCGTCTTCACAGGTGTGGTCATGACTCACTGCAGCTTAGAACTCATTCGCTCAAGCAATGCTCCCAACAGCCTCCTGGGTAGCTGGGACTACAGGTGTGCTCCACCATGCCTGGTTCACACTGACTCACTCTTCATCGGTTCATCTGAGCACTCACACACTCCACTCATATCCTTCTTCCCTCCCTTGAAATATTTATTGAGCCCCTTTTATGCTATGCTAGACACAAGCAGGGCAAAATTGAATAATTCTCTTTGTTCTCACACACTTAGGGGGATTTCTGGGCAACAGAGTCTGGGCCCTGTGCCTCTCTCCCCTTCTCATTTCTGTTCCCTGCTCTTAGCAGAGGCCGGAAGCCACCCTCCTACCTTGAACAACCAGCTGGGCACTGGCCTGGGCCTGCCCCCAAGGTCCATGGGCCTGGCAAACATATGTCCCTTGGCAGCTCTGGTCCAAGTTCTGGATTCTATAAAGAAAAAATAATAAGACATCAGGGAGTTGAAAACAATTGAAAGAATGCTTTGTAATTGGGCCCAGTGCAGTGGCTTATGACTATAATCCCAGCACTTTGGGAGGCCGAGGCAGGTGGATCACTTGACGTCAGGAGCTTGACACGAGCCTGGTCAATATGGTGAAATCCCGTCTCTACTAAAAATACAAAAATTAGCAGGGCGTGGTGGCACACGCCTGGAATCCCAGATACTCTGGAGACTGAGGCATGAGAATTGCTTGAACCCAGGAGGCCAAGGTTGCAGTGAGCCAAGATCACGCCACTGCACTCCAGGCCTGATTGACAGAGCGAGACTCAGTCAAAAAAAAAAAAAAAAAAAAAATGCTTTGCAATTGTGTGGGAGTTAATATAGCACAGCATCCTGTGTGGACTTCTGGTTCTCAGTAACCACTAGAGGTAGGCAGGCAGTTTGGGGGGCACCACAGCCATCTGAGAAAAGACCTTATGGTCTAGAGCTCAAGATCACACAGTTATCAAGTAGCCAAGCTGAGATCTGGGGTCATTTACATATTTCTGGCCCTAGGGCCTGTTTTCTTTTCTCCACTAATAATAAATATGAACGGGCCACTGTTTACTGAAGGCCTTCCAAGCTCCAGGTGCTGTGCTTTAGATAATCTCATTTCAGCCTTTTTTGAGAGAGTCCTGCTCTGTCACCTAGGCTGGAATGCAGTGGTGTGATCTCAGTTCACTGCTCTGCCCCTGGGTTCAAGCAATTCTCACGCCTAAGCCTCCTGAGTAGCTAGGATTACAGACACCTGCCACCACACCCAGCTAATTTTTTGGATTTTTAGTAGAGATGGGGTTTCACCATGTTGGCCAGGCTGGTCTCAAACTCTTTTATTTTATTTTACTTTTTTTTTGAGATGGAATTTCACTCTTGTTACCCAGGCTGGAGTGCAATGGCGCGATCTTGGCTCACCGCAACCTCCGCCTCCTGGGTTCAGGCAATTCTCCTGCCTCAACCTCCTGAGTAGCTGGGATTACAGGCACGCACCACCACGCCCAGCTAATGTTTTGTATTTTTAGCAGAGACGGGGTTTCACCATGTTGACTAGGATGGTCTCGATCTCTTGACCTCGTGATCCACCCTCCTCGGCCTCCCAAAGTGCTGAGATTACAGGCATGAGCCATTGCACCCTGCCCAGTGTTTTTTTTTTTTTTTTTTTGAGATGGAGTTTTGCTCTTGTTGCCCAGACTAGAGTGTAGTGGTGCAATCTCCGCTCACTGCAACCTCTGCCCCTGGGTTCAAGCAATTCTCATGCCTCAGCGTCCTGAGTAGCTGGGATTACAGGCATGTACCACCATGCCCAGCTAATTTTTTGTATGTTTAGTAGAGATGGGGTTTGACCATGTTGACCAGGCTGGTCTCAAACTCCTGACCTCATGTGATCTGCCTGCCTCGGCCTCCCAAAGTGCTGGGATTACAGGCGTGAGCCACCACACCTGGCCCTCATTTCAGTCTTATGTAACCCATTATATAGCTGAGAACACTGAGGCTCAGAGAGGTCAAGCGATGTGTCCAAGGACAGTGCTTCATGCTGCGCCCGCTGGGGCAGGTGCTTTAACTCTGCTCACTGTGAGCCTTGGGCTTTGCTGCCCAAGTCCAGTCCTGCTCCGACCCCACTCACCGGAGTACCCCATCCTGCACGCTGTGGCCCAGAGGCAGCTGACCCCCTTCCTTGAACCAACGGATCTGGGTACCCCGGTCGTTGGGCACAGCACAGTGGAACTCAACGCTGGCCCCAATGCTCTTGGTCTCTAGCTGAGGCGTGACCTGCACGGTGGGCGTGGACTCTGCTGGGATGGAGGTGGCAGGGAGAGAACCAGGGGGGCCTGCAGGGAGGACACATACAAGGTTCTGCAGGTACCTGTGTGTGTGATGTCCCTGATGCCCTTCCATGGACCCAGGAAACCCCCAGCCCAACATTCCAAGAATGTTCTTGTCCTGATAGCCTCTCTGACCAGGGAAAAAAGACTGTTCATGAAGTGGCAGATTCATTCCTGTGCACACTCATGCCACTGTTCCATCAACATGGATAGGGGCCTGTGGAGTGCTGGGCTGTTTCCACAGCTCCTGGCTTTTGGGTGGGGAGGGCAGGCCACAACAAGAGTGGGAGGGACTCAGACATTTTAAGGAAGGACAGCAAAGCCTATTCTGCCTGCAGTTTAAATAAGAGAATCCAGGGCCTTGGCCATGGTGAAGACACCTACATGTGCAGGGGACAGATGGCAGGTGGGGGCAGATGCATATTGTCCCCATTTACTAAGTGCCTACTGTGAGCTACAGTTTTACATCTGTGTTTACATGTGTGTACTTTTCCATCTCAGCCTACGTGGTCGGCGTTGTTCTCTTCACTTTACGGATAAAGAAACTGCGGCTCAGGCTGGGTGCAGCGGCTCATGTCCATAATCCCAGCACTTTGGGAGGCTGAGGTGGGTGGATCACTTGAGGTCAGAAGTTCAAGACCAGCCTGGCCAAAATGACGACACCCTTTCTCTACTAAAAACACAAAAACTAGCCAAGCAGGGTGGTGCATGCCTGTAGTCCCAGCTACTGGGACACTGAGGCATGAGAATCACTTGAAGCTGGGAGACAGAGGTTGCAGTGAGCCAAGATCGTGCCACTGCACTCCAGCCTGGGTGACAGAGTGAGATTCTGTCTCAACAAAAAAAAAAAAAGAAAGAAAAGAAAAAGAAAGAAACTGAGTCTCAAAAAGGTTCAGTGACTTGGCCAAGGCTGCACAGCCAGCAAATGGCCAAGCTGTGCTTTGAACCCAGGTCTGAGTCCACTGTCCGGGCCCTGGACTAACGGGTTACATGCTGGGCTACTTTGAGAGTTTGGGGTCCAAAAGCCCCAAACTTTTGTATCACTGATGTAGGAGGCCATGGAAATGCTGGGCTCTCTGAAGACCCACTGAGGCCCTGGGCGTGCTGGGGGTGGATGCTCCTGTCACTCATTCACTGTTGTCCCTGTCAAGCATTTGCCCAGCCCACCCTGGGCCTTGTCACCCTCAGCTAAGCCCAGGGCTGCTGAGATGCCTGGGTCCAGGCCCTGCCCTGAGCGTTCTCACTGCCTGGCAGGGGAGGCAGGCTGGGTATTTATGTACACAGAATGGTTTCCTGTGGCAGTGCCAGGGCTGTGCCAAAGGAGAGCTAGAGGAGCTGAGCACATGTGATGGAGGGGCTTCCTGGAAGAGGCAAGCCTGCCTCCGGGCTTGGAGAACAGGGAAGAGGAGGGCATTCAGGTGGGGTTGTGAAGGGAGTCCCTCCCACCCTGAGTCTGCCTAGCTGGGTCATCGAAGGGCCAAGAGGAAAGGGGCCCCCTTCCACCCTGAGCCAGGGCTGCTTACCTTGGATGAGCAGCTGAGCAAAGGCCTCGGTGGAGCCCACCTTGTTGGTGACCCGGCAGCGGTAGCGGCCGGAGTCCTCAGGGGCTGCAGACTCAAAGTGCAGCAACTCGTTCCTGGCAGTCGCCCTCCCAGGAAGGCTGCCGCCCACACGGCTCCACTGGAAGGTGAGCGGGGGTGTCCCGTGAGCCAGGCACTGGAGCTGCACCGTCTCCCCTGCCTGCACCGAGGCGTGCTCTGGGACTGTAGTGGCATATGGTGGGCCTGGGTTGGGGGACACAGAGGTCAGGATGGGGGAGGGCAGAGGTCAAAATGGCAGCAGGTCATTGGATACAGGTGTCCAGAAAAGCTGAATGGTGATCCCAGAGGACTGGTGATAAGAAAAGCAAAGTTCCCAGGAGGGGGTGTGGATGTCAGGCAAGAGTAGGCTCTGGGCCCCTGAGGTGCCTGGAGACCTCTGGGGTCTAAACATCCATCCTCTGGATGGAGTTTCTGGGGTTCTGTGTGGGGTGGAGCCCAGTCGGGGGGTTCAGATCTTTATTTGGTGCAGACAAAGACGGGATGAGGCCTTACTCTCCACGTGCAGGATGATGTTGGCCTCAGCGTGCCCGGCAGGGCTAGTGGCATTGCAGATGTACTGGCCCGAGTCCTGTTGGGCTACCCGGGGGATGATCAGTGTGTCACCTTCCACCCGGTGCTGCCAGGGTAGTGGGGAGCGCAGCTTGGACCAGTGGATGGTGGGCGCGGGGCTGCCTGTGGAGTAGAGTGGAAGATGACAGAAATCACTGGGTTGCCTCAGGGACTCGAGGAGGGTGGCCGTGGTGAGGAAGGGCCCTGGGTGATCCTGTTCCTCTCTGGGGACTCCTAAGTGGGTTCCTCAGCCAATGCTACGTGATGCTGGCAACACAGTATCCCTACGCTTCCTAGCCCTGGACACGACATCATCTCTAGATCTCACGGGTCTGCAATTCAGACCCCAGGGCATCCCTGCCCTGCCAGCCCTGTGTGCCAGCCCCTGCCCACACCTGTGGCTGAGCAGCGCAACGTGGCTGTGTGTCCAGCCTCCACAGTCAGCTCAGCTTCTTCTGTTTGGACCTGAGGGGCCCCTGGGGCCACAGCACCCGTGTCCACGATCACCTCCACCTGCTTCTGTGCTGTGCCCAGTGCGTTCTGAGCAAGGCACACGTAAGTGCCCGCATCTGATGGCTTCACGGATGAAATCTAGGAGAAAGCAAGGAGGCTGGTTATGTGGGGACTGAGTGGGGATTTTGATGTCAGCCCCAGCTCTGGCTTGGCTTTCCCTATTTCCTCTACCCTGCCTTGGTATTTATTTATTTTTTGAGACAGGGTCTTAATCTGCCGCCCAGGTTGGAGTGCAGTGGCACCATCCTGGCTCATTGCAACCTCTGCCTCCCACGCTCAAGCAGTCCTCTTGCCTCAGCCTCCTGAATAGCTGGGACTGCAGGTATGTGCTGCTATACCTGGCTAAGTTTTTATTTTGTTTTAATTAATTAATTAATTAATTTTGAGATGGAGTTTCTCTCTGTCTTGCCCAGGCTGGAGTGCAGTGGCGTAATCTCAGCTCACTGCAGCCTCCCCCTCCCAATTTCAAGTGATTCTCCTGCGTCAGCCTCCTGAGTAGCTGGGACTACAGGTGTGTCCCACTACACCTGGCTAATTTTGTATTTTTAGTAGAGACGGGGTTTCATCATGTTGGCCAGGCTGGTCTTGAACCCCTGACCTCAGGTGATCTGCCTGCCTTGGCCTCCCAGGCTGGTCTCGAACTCTTGGGCTCAAGTGATCTTCCTGCCTTGGCCTCCCAAAGTTCTGAGATGACAGGTATGTGCCACCACGCCTGGCCCTTTCCTTGGTTTTGTCCCATCTGGCTGCTTGAGGGCTCACCCTCATGACACCCCATTAGTCCATCCATGTACTTGGCCTTCGACCCACCCTCCCATCCTTCCACTCATTCTTTCTTCCTTCTCCCACCTTCCTTCTCTCTTCCCCTCATCTTCCAGTCTATTCGCCATCCACCCCTCCCATCCATTCCTCCCTTCCTCTCTCCATCCACTCATCACCACTTGCCATCCGCTAGTATCCTCTCCAAGCACCCGCTCAAGCCTGGGCCCTGGACTGAGCCTCAGACCCGGAGACGCACCAGCCCTGGCCTTACCTGCAGCACCGCATGGCTGTCCACGAGCCCATACGTCCGCTGCTCCAACTTGACAGGGGTGCCAATCCGAGTCCAGCGAGCAGAGGAGCGGGGCTCCCCGGCACTGACACACTCCAGGGTGACAGCCTTTCCCTCTTTCACCCACACAGGGCCCTCGGGGAGCACGGACACTGTCGGGGGCCCTGTCCGGAGGAATGACAGCACTGACCACAGGCAGGGCTCTGCGGGTCACCCACACGGCCATGGCCTCCAGCTCAGTAACCTGTCTCTCGACTGCACTGAGGTGGAAACTGAGGCTCAGAGAGGGAGAATGCCCAAGACAGAGTCAGTGGTGGAGGGAGGATTTAAACGTGGAGGGTCTGAGCTGAGAATCAGGGCTGGAAACAGGAGGGCAGGGCCCCACAGGGTCAACATCCCCTCACCGTGCACGCTGAGGTTCACCACACTCTGGGCCACGCCGTAGGCATTGGAGGCCACGCAGCGATAGGGGCCGTGGTTGCTGGGCCGGGTGCCCACGATGGTGATGACGGAGCCATTGGGACTGATGTGGACGTTGTCTGTGAGGTTGATGGGGAGGAAGAGAGAGGACTGACCCGGTCCGTCTCATGTTTTGGTGCTGCCAGCCTGTGCCCCTGGGCCCACGGCCCCCACCCCTCTGGCCTGGGTGTGTCCAGCTCATGGAGTCCCAGATAGCAGAAGGTAACAAAGGCCTTGGAAACTCCTGGGTCCAGCACCCTCTCCATACAGAGACAGGAAAGGCCTTACTGGCCACATCGTGAATGTGAGGAGTCCAGACTTCTGCCCCACCCTCACACAGTGGGGATGACTGCACCCCGCCTGCCCCCATTTGCCCGCCCACCCACCCACCGGCCCAGCTCACCCTCCAGCTTCCGGGTCTTCCACTCAAGGCTGATGGGGGCTGCCCCGTCGTGGATAAGGCACTTGAAGCTGGCATCCTGGCCCTGGTGCACGGTGCTGCTGGGCGGGTCGATGGAGATGACCGGACTCCTGAGGCCTGGGGCCAGAGGGGCAGAGGGCAGGGCTCAGCAGGGGTGGGCTGCTTTGACCTGGGGAGGCTCTGCTTCAGGGCCCTCCCCTCCCCCACTTGCCCATGGCATCTGCCATACTCACGGTAAGAAGACCCCTCGCGGGGTGGGACTGTGACCACGAAGGAGGCTTCTTGCTCAGGGCCTGGGCCACCAACCACGCGGCACACATACTCGCCGGAGTCGGCAGGGGAGACTTGGTGGAGCCGCAGATGGGAGCCATGGGTCTGCAGAGCATGGAGCAAATGGTTATAAGGCCAAAGTCCCTGGGACAAGGAATGTCCCCAGGCCCAACTGTGCTGGTACCCAAGAGTTAACTCAGGAGCTTCGGGCCCCAGCTGTTAGGGCTGGTGGAAGCTTCACTCACAGAACCCTGGAAGTCCAATCTGCTAACTTTACAGTGGGGGAAACTGAGGCTCAGGAAAGGATTCAGCTGCAGAGCCAAGAGAAAAACCCAGGTCTCCTGATTCGAAGGCTGGTGAACTTGTGCCCCAAAAGCATTTTATCCCCTGGGGTCTCCAAGCAGGCTGGTGTTTGCATGAGGTTTGGGTGCAGAGAACAACTGCAGGTCTAACCTTGCCTGCCCTGGAATCCTCCCCCTCCTGGCCCCTGTACCTGGTGCCGGGCAGGGAGGCTGCCTCCGCGCTTGTACCATGTGACCTGGGCATGGGCCTGCCCAGGCACCACGCAGTTCAGATCCAGGGTCTGTCCTTCAGTCACGTGTGAAGAGGAGGACTCAATGTAGATAGGCTGGGCCAGTCCTGGGGCTGTGGGCACAGGGGGTGGGTGAGAGGCCAGGTTCTGCGGATGAAGGCAGGGGCTAGGGGGCACTGAAGGCCAACTCCAGTTGGTCCTGGGGATGCAGTAGCTTGAGAGTAGCTGACATGACCTAAAAAGGGTCTCCTTTCCCTGGGGACTCCAGTGTCCTCTTGAGAACCCAGGGATGGGGACCCCCTGGTTGAGGGGACGGGACCATCTTCAGACTTGGGAACACCTGGGTTGAGAGAGAGGAGAGCAGGGCCGGGAAGGGACCCCACGCTTATGCATGGGCATCACCCACTGTTACTTGTCACTCACCAGGAATGGGGCTTGGGCTGGAGGGCTCAATTGTGACCAGGACAGATGCCTCCAGGGTGCCTGAGCTTCCAGTCACTTGGCATGAATACTCGCCAGAGTCAGCTGGGGACACCTGGTTCAGCCTCAGCAGCGGGCCATGGACCTGGCCAAGGTGGGGTGAGAGTGGGGAGGGTGAGCTGGGAGCCTTCAGATGCCCAGGCCTCTGGGACCTGCGCCCCGGGACTGCCGTGCATGGGTATGTAGGTGCACCCTGTTGGAGGTGACCCCTTTGACAGTCGGCATCGTGGAGGCCATGTTTATTATGATAATTTTTTTTCCGGTAGGAAGAAGTCAAGAGCCTTGAGTAGGAGATGTCTTTTTCTTTTCTTTTTTCTGAGACAGTGAATTGCTCTTTCACCCAGGCTGGAGTGCAGTGGTGGAATCTCGGTTCACTGCAACCTCTGTTCCTGGGTTCAAGTGATTCTCCTGCCTTAGCCTCACAAGTAGCTGACATTACAGGCATGTGCCACCATGCCTGGCTAATTTTTGTATTTTTGGTAGAGACGGGGTTTTGCCATGTTGTTCAAGCTGGTTTTTTTTTTTTTTTTTCAAAAAAAAAAAAAAAAAAAAAGCAGAATGAGATTATGTAAACATCCACATCCAAGTACGTTTTTTTGTTATATGCACATCCTTCTATTGGAAGGAAATTCTGGAAAACAGTAACCTAGTCTTTTTCCAAAAACCTTTATTCGTAATCCCTGAGTTTGACACATAGTATATGATTAATATTTGTGGAGTGGATGGATGGATAGATGTGCAGATACATGAATATACTGCTTCTTAAGATGTCTGGCTCTGAGAAGGCTGTTGTACTATGTAATAGATTTTGGAAGTGAGCTAGAACTGCGTTTTAATTCCAGATTTACGTAGAGTTTTCCAGTTGG